CAGTCCTTCAGCCAGTTTTCAGTCCCTGCAGTCATGCTTTTATTTATGCACTAATGCCAGAGAAGCTTCCATTAAGCCATTCTGATGCAATGGTAAGATTCCCCTGTCTACTAGAACCCATGTTTTTTGGGGGGTTTTTGTTCCACCCCAAAATTAAATTGGCTCATGTTCTTGAGTGCTACAGTAGGGTGGGGATGTGGCAGTGTGGTTGTACTCCCCTTCTATGATCCACATGCAAAAGAGTCTGGGTGGACTCCTGCCTTGCTTTGCATGGTTCCAGAACCTTAGGGTGGGTTCCACGATCGTTTCCCCTATTCCCCTACCCCTGAATATGGTGTGGGGAAGAGGAATGGCTCTGGGAAGTGCATTCAGCAAGTGAAAGTAATGGCTCTGGAAAGAGCCTGCACTGATCAGCTGTCTCCCTACATGGGCAGAGCTCGGGCAGCTGACCAGCTGAGAGCTCAGTGCATTCATTGCATTGGCATCACATGGCCAAAGAAGGAATAGCTGCAGCCCCTATCCTCCTCTCCTAGATCCACCCATGCATCCTTGGTAGTTGTATTTGCACACACATGCAGGCCCAAACACACACATGCACACATGAGCAAACACTTAAAGCCATACTTAACTCTCTCAATGTCTTGAGATGTTGTAGGGAGAGCTGGCTGAAAAGCAGGGTTTCTGGATTTTGAGAAATGGGGAGGTTTTGTCTTGAAATGTTGATTCCAGCCTGAATTGGACTGAAACAGCAACAACAAACAAACTGAAACTTTCTACAAACACCCATTTCATTGAGCAGCCCTGGGGCTGGGGACTCACACCTTCCAACATTCCTGAGCCCTGCCTTGGATTCAGCTGAGGCACAGCAAACTCAGGATGTTTCCAACAAAGCATCCTGGGCAGGTCAAACTGGCTGGCAAAATTCTGCAGAGGCATAACGGGACAGCTCTGCACCCTGTGCCTGTGCTGGTTATTTTTGTGCCTCCCTCCTCCCCCACCAAAATGGTGCCCAGGGCTGTTGTCCTGATTACTGCCTCCTTCTGTTACACTACTGAAATTGTGTTATATGCATTGCCGTCTACCACAGAAACAGAGCCTGTGATAACCTATAGCAGCCACAGGTTTGAAGCAAATCAAAAGCTTCATTTGGGGAACTCTTGACTCTTGAGTATGGAATATTTCCTGTTTTGTCCAGGGCACGAGAACAGCTAGTTGTCCCTTCCTGGCCTGTCTGCCCCTTTGTTGGATGTACTGTAGATTTGCCTAGCTAAAGTATAGTAGGGGGGATGCTCTGTGCTGTAACATTCAATTCTAATTATAAAAATAGTCAGACTGACTGCAGCCTACAGGATAAATCTGTTCAGCCTGGTTCTCTGTTTATACCATCCACATTTATCCTGTTCCTCTCCAATTTGTCTCCTAAATTGTAATGCCTAAAATTAAAATGGCCAACTTGTCAGTGTTTAAAGCAGAGGAATTGCTTCTGTCACTAGCGTTCCTTATGAATTTGGGGCTTTGTATGGTTTTTAAGGGAAATATATGTTAAATGTTGTTTAAGTCATTGGTGAATAACGTGCAGCTAGTAATAGGCCACCAGCTTGGTAAGACCTGCAATTTTTCCTGAGATTTGTCTCAGAATGGTAAAGTCCAGATACTGCGCTATTAAGGTCAGTGGGGACTATACCATTAAATTCAGCAAAAAAGCACTAAATGCAGTTGTATTTGAATAAGCTTTTGTTTGGAGGACTGTTGGGGTCAGGATGGGAGATTCTCCTGGAACTGCATCTACACGTACTCAGTATCCCAACCTACTTCCTTCCTGGTGCACGAGGGCAACAGATGCTGTTTTGGCCCCAGAGGCTGCAGCAGCGGATGCAGAAGAGATTCAGTTCCATCCCCTTCAGACTAAAACCTTAAATGGCACACAAGGCCCTTTTGTGCAAGAATGGGGGGAATTTCACCTCATGGAGAGGAGCTGTCCAAAAAGATCCGTTTGGCAGCTGCTTTTGAAAGTTGAAATATTTTGCTAGGAAAAAAAAAGAAAATTGTAACTCTACTGGAGACAGAGATCCCTCCCCCTCCCTTGGCTGCAGTCTCTTGGAGGTTTAAGTGAGTTTAGTGATTTACTTTGGTTTTATTTTGATTCATTTCTGAAAGTAATTCCTCAGCTTGATGTGAGTACTCCTGCAAATCAGATTATTAATAAGATTAAGTAGAATAATTATTCTATCACACTGCTTGCCCTGTTGAGATTACCAAAGTATACAAAAGACAAAACAATCCAAACCAACCAAATAAATAAATTTTATTTAAAAAATCCTTTTTGCATGTTGCCTGTAAAAGGAATTCAGGCATTGGAAAGTACAAAGAAAATCACAGCTGATGGACCCAAACTATCATACCTCTGCCCCTGGTGCCAGAAACTTTGAGATAATCTTACCTATCCATAACACTTTTCATTTCGCTGATGATCATAATAGCTATCCTATCTGATTCCTACACATGCATTGATTGCATTTATTTATTTAGCAACTGCAAATCTGTGAAGGCAAGCGATAGCCTCTTCATTAGCTGAATTCAAAGTTATTAATCCACTTCTTAGTTTGTAGAGGGGACACTCCTCAGTGATGTGCAGCATTGTTTGTATCTTTCCATAAGTGCAGGATGGGTTAGCATTGAGGCCCCAGTGGTAAAGGTTGGCTGCGCAGGGGCCTTGGCCTGTCCTAAACCTGTTTAGCAGGGACCAGTTTCACCATGATAGTTCAAAGCCAGCAGGTTGACACGTGGGGTCTGTCACAAGGAACTTGTTTGTGACTTCCCATGATGCCCATTGATTGCATTAATTCACTTACACTTTACTCCTTGATGGAGGTGTGGGAAACTATATTTTGGAATCTGTGGTGGGGAAGATCCCAGTTACTACTTGCAAAGATAGCAATTTCCCTAATGTGTGAAATCAACTCCACAGTCGCAGGTAAAAATATAGTATAAGCATGATGGACTTTATGTAATTGCATGAAAAAAAGATAGCAGAGCTATGGTTTGTGGAGATACCGTGGAACTGAGTGAACTCAGCATTGCCAACACCATGCATAAAATGCCAATTGTTAAGCTCCACAAGCACTATGAACTCAGCCTAAAAAAAGTGCAATTTAGAAAGCAATGCATGTTGGGTTCTTTTTATTTGTCTTCTGGATTGAGCTTTTAGTATCCATGTTTTCTGACTTTTCAGCACAACTGATTACCCAGCTCCAGATGGTAGAGCTTTAAGATAACTACCAAATATGGTGAATGTGCAATAAAATTGCACAGATTGATGACACTGCTTCAGGATTTCACCTGAACTCCCATTCTCAGGCCCTGCTCCTCTAAACCACTGCGGCCCTGGATCTTTCCTATGGGTAAAGTTAAATGTTTGCAGACAAATGAGGACGCGTAGGAGATAACAGTGCTCATGGATGTGCAGTGTAATTTTGTATGATTGGGTGTCAAGGGTTAAACAGTTCCCTGAAGCCAGCATCCAAACTCTTTGTATGTTATGACTGTTTTAGAAAGTTTTTGGCTAGCCAATTCAAAAGCATTATTGCTCCCATTTAACCTTGCAATGTAGACTTAAGCAGGAGCCAATATAGCATTGCATTTAAGGGCTATTTATTAGTATCTGTAGAAAGAGTCCTGTTTGGCATTAATAATTATAAAAGTAAAGGTTAAAGTGTAGAGACAAGGTAAGAATTAAATTTAGTATTTTGAAGTTGTATAACTGATTCATTTTAATAATTCCAGAAAAAAGATAGTGTAATAGGACCGCATCAAGTATTTATACAAAGATGCTTAAATTACTTTTAAACAACTGTGCCTTGTGTTAAATGACAAGAAACTTTATGTAGCACATGCCAAAGGCATGTTGAAGACTTTTCCAACCAGACTGTTCTGATTCATCTCTTTGAACTGTTTTTTGTCGCAGATACAGTATAGACATTCACTTTAATAACTACCAGCTGTTTTAATATCCATTGCAATAAAGAGATCATTCTTTAGGATCCTCAGCACAAACAGATCCATATTCCTTCTACTGTAGAGTCAAACATGGCAGGATTGCTGGCAGAATTGACTAGCATTCTCCCGCTCCATTTAAGCAGATGTATTATCGTTTGTCCATCAGTATCTTTCAGCTGGTTTAATCCAGGGGTGAGTAGTTATTTAGGCTGGAGGGCCACTTGAGGTGTTTCGATGAGCTGTTGGGGGCCGCGTCAGCACTCCCCACCCCACCCACAACAGCTCACCAAAACTCCCTAAGTGGTGGATCACTAGACTGGTCTGGAGGCACTGGATGGTATGGGGCTGTGGGCAGGCAGGGAGCAGTGTCCAGGAGCAGGATGGGTAGGTGGGGCCGCGGCCAGGATTGCAAAGTGGTAACAGTGTGGGCCAGGGTTGGGGCCCGAGCCTGTGGCAGAGTCACAATCTGCTCCCTGCCTAGTTTTGCAGTGTCACTGCCCCGCCAATCTCAGCCCTGGTCTCATCCAGCCATCCCGCTCCTGAACGCTGCTACCCATCCACCCTCAGCACCAATCCCATCCTCCTGGCCGAGCACACCCTATCTGCAGGGCTCCCAAGCTGGTCTCCACAAATATCTTTTATTTCTTTAAAAAAAGACACCAAATAATTTTGATGGATAACCAGGTCATTTTGCATTCTGAAGAAGTTTCTGGGTTATCCTATGAAAAACCATACTAGTCCCAGTAACATCAAGATATGTGATCACTTCATGTTCAGGGTCTCAAGAAGCACATGTCGAAGTTGACAGGGATCTATGTGGCAGTGCACTTTATTCTGTGCTGTTCTAATGAGATGAAGGTGTGTTGCATGCTTTGCATTTAAAGAGTACCTTAACCTCCCCGCCTCAAATTGATGGCACTGCAGACAGAGTCCTCAGTGTTTGTCAAGGTTACAGCAGTAGCCATGGTTTGCCAAAGTAACAGTAGTTCTCTGTTTTGCTGCAGAATGAGGTGCCAATGCTTCTCAAACCAATATCAGACAAGATTCAGGAAATCCAGAACTTCAGAGAGAGAAACCGAGGAAGCAAAATGTTCAATCACCTCTCCGCTGTCAGTGAAAGCATACCAGCCCTTGGCTGGATAGCAGCGGTGAGTTACTCACAGTAAAGTTGAGCATCTTTAAACACACATCTTAATACTGTAGTACCTCCTAAACAAATAATACTGGCAATGTTGTGTAACTCTGCCTTCCTATCTCTTTATCGCTACAGTCAACTGGTGGAGGTTTGTGACTAATGTTTTACATCCTCTCTTCTTTCATTTTTTCCTGCTATCCTTGGGTGATGTTCCTGCTCTCTTAGTCTCCTAAACCAGGCCCTTATGTCAAGGAGATGAACGATGCCGCTACCTTTTATACTAACAGGGTGTTAAAGGACTACAAAAACAGGTATGTTGCAGAATGTGAATGTCCTCACTGTTTTGAGGACAACTTAGAACTAGCTGTATTGCGAGAGTAGAGAAGACCCACCACAAAAAATGTTCTGGAAATTGAAAAGCACTCAGTGCAATTTGATTATTACTAATTTGATTAACATGGCTCTAATTTCAGTATCCCATTCCCTCCCTATTGCCTTTAGGTACAGTGGTGTATTGCACTGTAAATTAGCACTCACAGTGCTGGTCTTAGACTTCTACAACTTTGTGCTGGCATTTGGGCCAAGTGTATGCAAGCGTGCGTGTATGCGTGTGCACACACACACGCACACTGCCAGCCACAGCACTGCTCTGACTTGTATCCTGGAAGGACTGAATTCCCTAACTGTCTTGATGTTTTCTAATTGAAAATTTACCTTTTGTCTCTACCACCTGGTTCCTGCACCTGGCTCTGCAGCCAAAGCCTAGCTGCCCCAGACTGACAGTGTGCCCTGTTCACTGCTGCACAGGTCATCTTGAAGGCCTTCACCCTAAAGATCCTATGTAACTACAGTAGCAGCCATGGAGCAGATTCATATGCATTCAATAGGTTGCAAGAGAGAGGCTGGCTAAAGCACCCCTACAGAGAACCTTTGCCCAAATACCATTGATTTCGCCTTTGCAAAGGGGTCCAGTTTTGGTCCTGAGTACTACATTATCATTCCAGTATCACCCGTCATATCATTATGGGCAGATCAGGCTTTTTTCTTGTCCATCATCTGACAGGGTAAATTAGGCTCTTGTAAACCCAGTTCTATCAGGTGTGAGCCTTGGTATCTGTCTAGGTCAGAGGTTCCCAAAGTTTTTCTTATTGTATACCCCCTTTCAGATTTACCAGCTGCCTGTATAGCCCTACGAGCATACCTTTCATATTTTAACTCCTTAATGCCAATGATTATGATAATGAAAATTAAATCTGCCATTACACATTTTTTCCCACTTACCCCCAAGAGATGTCCTGCATACCCCCAGGGGTACATGTACCTCAGTTTGGAAACCCCTGGCCTAGGTGTTACTTGCACACAGCTCAGCAGAGATCAAATAGCATATTAATCACTTCCCCTGGGCAAAATCAGTGCATGGATATGAGTTTTGGCAAAGCTTTTAAAATTATAATTCTGAATGCTTGTTGGAGCCCATAGGTACTTAGTTTGGGTAATTCTTCTTTTCTCTCTTTTCTTTTTCTTTTTGCTTAATTTGTCAGGCTAAAATGTTTCTTTGCACATTTGACCTGCTTGCAGTTCCCACTGGATTGGTGGAAGGCTTTTCGCTCATTGCAGTGGGCTTTGGAAAAGGCCTTTAGGCCCAAGTCCTCAGAGGTCCCTAGCTACTACCTTTGCTGGGAATTAACCAGCTAAAAACCTTTGAGTGTCAGGGTCTCTCAGCCATTACTTTTCACTGGATTTTTACCATGAAGGGCTTGAGCCCGCACTCAGTTACTTCCAGGCATTTTCTTAGTGCCATTTTCTGTCCCATTACAGCCAATGGCAAGTATGTGGAATTTTGGAAAGTTAGGCCACTTACTTTAGTGCCTAAGGGCATCTATATATGTGCTGGATGCCTGCTCCAATGCAATTAATCAAGTCTGTTGGAGCGTGGTAATTAGCATGCTCCAGCAGCCCCCACATCCTGTGTATTCAGTGTCTCTGTGCTTTAAAATGGCGGTAGGGTGCTTTAACTAAAGCTTGTCAAACAAGCTTTAGTTAGAGTGCCCCCACTGCCATTTTGAAGTGTGGGATGCTGAATACACGTGATGCTGTGGGCACTGTAATTAAATTCTAATTAAAGCACCCTTCCTCACCCTGGAGCTGTTCTAATTAAAGTGCCCCCCCCCCCAAGCACATGTAAAGACACCCTAAATAAATGATTTAGGAGCCTAAGTTTAGGCTCCTGTTTTCAAAAAGCTTGGTTTGCACATATTTGAGTCTAACAAACTTTAAACATGACATCAGCCTGTCTACCCCAAACATTTATGAAATTTTCACTTCCTGGCTTGTTCTCCATTATGAGAAGTTGTGTATACACATTGTGTTGTTTCAGAGTTTTCATGGTCCCTATTAAAAGTTCTGGGAGGGAGGCAGGTTTCAGAAAGCGCACTGGTTTGAGGGCTGTAAGGAAGTGACAGCTGTATTTGAAGTCAAGAGCCAGCACAAAATATCATAGCCAAGTGTGGATATCTGGTGCCAAGGCTTCATTTGGCTTTATTGACTTTAAGCCTGGTGAGAAAAAATTATGTGTTTGCAGGAAAGTCTGTCTTAGAGCCCTATTATGCTCTGATCTTTCCCTCATTAAAGACATTAGGACTCGTCAATCTGCCAGGCCTCAATGTTTGCTGTGCTGCTTGCTTGAGAGCAGTCTTCTGACTTAATTGTATGTGGCCAGTGACAGACACAATCTGTAGTGTACTTGAAGCATTGGGGAACAAGGCTCTGTGGGCAAACACAAACATTCACACACACAATTATTTCCTGTCTTTACAGTGATTCACGTCATGTTGATTGGGTGAAGTCATACCTGAACATTTGGTCTGAGCTCCAAGCTTACATTAAAGAGCATCATACCACAGGTCTCAGCTGGAGTAAAACCGTAAGTGCTCTTTCCTTTTTTGCTGCTGGAACAGTAAAATATCACTAACAGATTCTCCTTGTGGCAGGTGCAGCGGATCCAGACAGCAGCTCTGGAAGAGAAAGGGCAAAAATAAGAAATACATTTCTGTATTTAAAACTGTGGTAAAGCAAGGAAACAGGTAACATCAGTCGCTGATCCTCTGTGCAAAGCTGGGAATGGGTTGTTGTTAGACAGCCTTTCAATCTGGTATTAGCAAAGACTAAGTGCACAGATAAAATGACCGTGGTGAGTACAATGGTTGGAGGCCAGCAGATAGCAAGCAGATGCACATGAGGCTTGGTTCACACTGGCTTCAGGCCTTTCCTTTTTTTTAAGTCAGGGTGCTCAGCCCCTGGCTTGGAAGCCAGATCTGGCCTACAGAGCCATGCCATCTGGCCCTCAGGGGTCCCCACAGGTCTGAAAATTTGGGGGAGCAGCAGCAACAACTGCCACTTCCCTGCTGCCAAATTTACAGACCCATTGGGGGCTCCACCAGCCAGGTAGCATGCTAGGTTACCATGCAGCTGTGGCCTGGGGCCTAATCCAGACACACAGGGCCCCCAACGAGGTGGCATGGGCCCAGATCCAGAGGTGGGTTAGGTGGAGACAGCATGGGACCTGATCCTGGCACATGGGGCCCATCCAGGCCTATGCCACTCATTCAGCCCACAGCACCAAAAAGTTGAGCACCACTGTTTTAGCTGCATTGTTAGACTGTCTGTCCCTTCCTCCCTTTTATTTTAAGCCCCTCCCTTTCCTTTGCCATGGCTCGAGCATCATGATCTAAGAGACACAGAGAGGATAGGCCTTCCCTAGAAATGTTATGCTGTACAGAAATTAAAGACTAAGTGGGGCTGGCTGTGTTCCCACACAATTGCGCTTCTCCCAAACAGAGCAGGTCATAGTAGCAACTCGCTGTTTTTAGCCAACAGCTAACTGACATTCTTTGCACTTTCAGCTGAGAACAGGTGTGAAAAGCTGAAACAGGTGTGAAAGATGGATGGAAAGATGCTTCAGGCCAGTTATGTTCAAGAGGTGGAGAAATTCTGTAGATCAATTCTAGACTTAGTCCTCAACAGCAGTGGAGGAAAAGAAGAGAGAGCAGGGTCTCTGGGCTCTATTGTTAGGTGATATAAAGAGTGAGCACCATTAAGATTAAAAAGGGAGGATAAAGTAGGAAGAGATTGACAGAGAGTGAAATAGAAGGTGGAGCGAAAGGTGGCAAAAAAAGACTTAGGAGAAAGAGGAATGCTTAATAATAAGAAAGAGAAACACAAAGGACACATACATACATACATACACAATTCTAATACAATAAAGGGCTTAGTCCTTCTGTTTGTCTGTCTGTAACACTCTTGGAGCACTCTGATTGGTTGTCTGTAAACAACCAATGACAGTGCTCCACAG